CTAGCGATTTACTTTGACTTATTATATGCCCCCATATACTAGCGTTATAAGCTAACCGTTTTTCGAGATAAAACTGTTTACACTCGATAATCATGAAAACAAATCTCAGAGAACAGTCGACTCGGTACCAATGTGTTACACCCCAGGTTCATTTTGTGCCAGAGTTCTCCTTTAAGATGTCTTATTAAATCTATAAATATATATTTTTTGCACGTTGCATCAATGCATTGTTACACCACTTATAGAAAGTATGTGATGCAAAGCTACATTTAATCAGGCCCCCTAAAAACTTTTTGTTAAAGCAATGTTTTATTTTGTAATATAACACTAATATTAATGCATGTTTGTCCTCTCCCCACAGATTGAAATTCACCCGGGCTCAGGAGTTTATGTACCAAAAAATGTATTGTGGTCAGCTAGCCATGCAAACAGCCCCACTACCATGGCACGGATGCTTCTCCTTGGAATTTTTGATATTGATACACTTCTTAAGAGCAATCTCAGAGGTAGTTAATGGGACATAGTGTCTTCAAGTGTCTGTATAATTATTATAATTTTTTGATAACTATGTAGATTGAACATCATATCTGAAGTCGTTGGGTAAGGGGTTAAAGTAAACCAAAAAAAACTGCTCTATTATAGTAATTCTTGCATATTTACAGACATATGTACACTCATTCACGTTTACATTGAAATATGATGCTTTATAAATATAAATTGGACTATTTACATTATCCCCATTTTACTGAAGCAGAATGAAAAATGTAATGTATTGTTGAGTAGTTAGATAGGAGTGGAGTTAATTCATATTTCGTTCTAATCTCTATTATGTTGCTCTTTCTTAGGTGGCAAGTCCAAAAATGCAAGCCCTGGGGAAACAAAAGAGCCATTGGACAGAATCAAAATTGATGCAATAATGAGTATGTATATTACTTGGTTAATTGGGCTTGAATTGTGTAAAACCAAATGTGTCAGTATAACCATCAGAATTGATCAGTTTCAGCTTGGTGTTTCAGTGTGATGACACTTATACTGGGTTCTGAATAATGCTTAAATTTCAGGAACATTAAGTTTGTTATCTACCAAACAATGTACAGATGAAACTTATAAAAATTAAAATATTGTGCAAAAGTTATAATTTTGATGATTATGGCTTACAGTTTATGAAAACCCCAAATTCAAAATCTCTGAAAATTAGAATATTACATGAAATCAATAAAAAAAAAGATTTTAAATACAGAAAAAATGTCGGCCTTCTGAAGATATAATCATGCATATGTATATAGTTATATATACTAAATATATTAGTTTCACCTTTTAATTTGAATTACTGAAATACATTAAGTTTTGCACGATATAAATTTTTTTCGAGTTTCACCTGTATGTCCTGTGTTAATTTAGTGTTTGAGGTGATTTTATTTGCCTGTCTTTAGATAAATGTTATAAAACTAAAATGCTTTTCATTGTCTTTTATACAGATGCAGTGATCCAGAAATTTCCTGGAACCACCAGGGGCCAACTAGGGGTGGCTATCAATCAGAAGGTCACTGAGCTGCGGACATCCAAGAAGACCCAAACTTAAAAAAATAACAGTCTGTATCGTACCTGTTGGTGGATATTCTTGTTCTTGTCTTGTTTTATGTTTTGGAGTAATATTGATAAAGTTGTGTGTTGAGTGTTCAGAAGTTTTCAAATTTTGCACAGCTTAATTTTTATTTTTAAATTAAAACTGTTTTTAAATAAAATTGTAATGTTTGAGCTGTTTTACTGTGTTACTTATTTTTTGCTAACTGCACCATTTAACATTTAAGGCTAGGCATGTCATGTTCATTACAAGTGTGTAAGTACAAGTACACGTCCATAACCTATATTTAAAAAGATGTATGAAGTTAATGAAAGCAATTTTTTTTTACATTTGTTTAGTTTACATCATGCATTAAAATATTTTGCAATTAATATACATAATATAAGAACATAACATATATTCAAAATATATGTGCTCACACAATGTTTTTATATATGCCATTTATATATTCCACATACATGTATCAAAAATATATTATATATATATATTTCAAATTATATGAAAAATATATACTAAGACTATATAAAAACATATGAGGGGCATATATATGTCACATATATGTAAGCAATATGCTATGCATATATGTGTAGTTTGTATATTGGACATACATATAAAGAAATATATGTCATGTATATTGATAATTATATATGTGACATATATATATAGACACTATTATACATACATAAAATATATGGGCTAATTTTATATGTCAATATATGAAATTGTTCCATTTTCGAATATGTTTTATATATGGGAAGATATATATGTACATATATGTTTTCACTGTCTATGTGCATATATTTAATATATGCATATTTCATATATGTACATATATTACATTTCCGTATGGGTTGTAACAGCGCGCGCGCCTCCGCATCCCCTAGACACCATTTACTACACACACTAGGCTTTTTTTCTCTGATTTTGAAAACTCTTCGCGATCGACTTAAAATGCTTCAAAGATCGACTTGTCGACCACGATCGACGGGTTGGTGATTCCTGTAACATATTGTTTTACGGTCAATGACAAGAGTACTAATCAGCTGTCTCACGAACGTAACCAGCACATTTATCCCCACATAGCAAAGCCATAACACAGCGAGGAAGAACTAAGTAACATGAAACAATCCAACTACATATTTTACACCACTGACAAGGGAAAAGTCACTACTCACGGTGTCTATGTCTAGCTTCTAGGTTTCTGCTGCTTCTCTTTCAAGGTAGTGACGAAACGCGCTCTGTAGCGCTGTGTGTTCGCTGTCGGCTACTGTAGAAACATGACGTCACAATATGTCGACCTTCATAGAAGGGGGTGCCCGCGGTTATGTAGATATAAATGTCTCATTCTAAGGTAATAAAAACATTACGGTTTATTAAGTAGAGACCGGGGATGGTTGTAACAGGGGGGTCAGTTGTAACAATTCCAATCTGTCCAATCAGGAACTAGTTACAAATCACCTGATTCACTTCACACATGCTTAGTTTAGTTCTTATTCCACATGTGATAAAGTAGAGCCCTGTGGCAGACACAGCACATGTTAAAGTGGAAAAAACAATTTTGAGGTAAGAAAGTAACTTTTTTTACTTTTTTTGTTTTTGTTATGGGAATTTCTGCTTTGTAGTTAAACTCATCAAACTTTTATTATGTTTATTGTGTGTCTGTGTAGATATTTCCCATGCAAGTTGTTAGTGCTAATTTTTTGTCTGTTAGCTGTAAGGTGAGCTAGTTCATGGCTACATGACTCTGGGTTAGTTGTAACAACAAGACTCTGGGTTAGTTGTAACAACAATGAATTAAAATTTTATTATGGCCAATACTATGGACTGACAGTAACAACCGTGCTTACACAAATAGAATGTTCAAGTTCAATTTATTATGGTCAATTACTATGACAGAGTAACAACAGAGTCACACACACACACACGCACACACACACACACACACACACACACACACACACACACACACACACACGAACACAAACACAGAATGTTCAAGTGTTCAATTTTATTATGGCCAATACTAACACTGGCAGTAACAAACATGCTTACAAACAATGTTTGTGTTCAAGTTCAATTTATAATGGTCAATTACTATGACTGAGAGTGACAAACACACTGAGACTAAGAGTGACACACACACATCAGTTATATTGAAAAGTCAGTGTTGAATAAAAACCTTTCAAAATAATTTTTTTGTCAAAATCCTTATTTCATTATGTTACATATCACCCCGGTGGATATCATAATGTTACATCTCACCCCAGGGTATGTTACAACTAACCCAGACTATGGGGTGAATTGTAACATTTCACTCCTCGTGTTTGAAACGAAACCATGCATTTTCTGTTTGTGTTGCAAAGATAATAGCTATGTCATTTAATAGCAGACACTTGTAACAAGTTTGGATCACATTTTGAACACACTGATTTCAAAGTACTACAAGATATAGACAGAAAGGTCAAAATTGTTACAACCATCCCCGGTCTCCCCTAAGTTCTTTATACACCACTGAAAACATAGTTATGGATGTCATATTGCATTTCTGTTAATAGATACTCAAAATTATTACACATTGCACCTTTAACAGAAAATATGGTGAAAATGAACCGTAAACATATTTACCACCACAAACTTTTGTAAAACAGGATTTGATGAAGCAACATAAAATAATAGAAAATATTCACAGATTGTTTGAAAAAATATATCTCTGTCAAGAATAACACAAGTTAAATGCAGCGACAGACAAAAAAACCTTTCTTTTCAGTAAATCTGCCTCAGTCCATATGAACTCAGTCGTTTATAGCTTCACTTCAGGCTTTGACTTCTGTTCTTTTTTCAAAATCAATTTTTGATGGAAATGGGATGCCCGTCTTCATGTAAATTAGAATGACTGATTCCCAATCATCAACAGAAATACTGTTATGCAGCAGAAACACGCTCAGTGTGAATCTTAACATAGCATAACATGAAAGGATGCGGCCGATGGAAACACAAATCGCATGCTCCACAGACTACACAACACCACACGCAGACAGAAGAGTGTACGGCCAGAGCAAACTCGTAACCGCATGCTCACATAACATAACATATAACATAACAAAGACAGAGCGCACGAGCGAATACTTATCTTGTGCACTTACAACAAAATACAAACACACGGAGCATGAATGTCTGAATCCCGGCACAGAACCGAAACCAAACTAGACATGAGTGCTGGAATCCGAACACCACGCCTCAAACTTGAAACAAGGCACACAGACAAGAGAACATACGCTCACACAAAGACAAGACAATACAGGTGTGTCAGGGCTATGGCACAAAACCAAGAATAAACTAGACCAAAGTGACAGAACCCTGACAGATATGTGACAGCATTATAAACTGACATCTCTGTTATTGATTTGTGGTGCAGAAGCAGTTGAAGGAGACGCAGAGATCGTTCCAGCAGAGGATCCAGCAGAGAGAGAAAGATCTTCAGCAGCTGAGAGAGGCTGTGGCGTCTCATAAGGTGAGTCTGGAGAAGAAGAGAAGTTTGAGAAGTCTCAGTCAGGACTCACTGAAGCTCACTGTGTGATTGTGATGTGTGTCCTAACAGCGCTCTGCACAGACAGCAGTGGAGGACAGTGAGAGGATCTTCACTGAGCTCATCCGCTCCATTGAGAGAAGCCGCTCTGAGGCGACACAGCGGATCAGAGATCAGGAAAAGACTGCAGTGAGTCGAGCTGAAGGACAACTGGACCGACTGGAGCAGGAGATCAATGATCTGAGGAGGAGAGACGCTGAGCTGGAGCAGCTTTCACACACACAGGATCACATCCATTCCCTGCAGGTAACAGAGATCTAGAAGAACAGGGTCATAGTGAGCTTGAGCAAGAGATTCAGAGAGAAACATTTCATTAGAGTAGAATGAGCTGTTGACCGTAATGTTGCCAGGAATTTTGTGTTATATAATAATAAGGTAGATTCTCATCTGATCATATTGCTTTAAAAATAGACTACACTTATGAATGCATTTCAGCTCTGGAAATCTCTTAGGAAACATGTTCTGTGCTCTTTCTTCTGGGAGATATATTTAGCTGCCAAACTCCACTAGTGCAAAGAACAGTTCAAATTTCCAGAACATATTTTTAAAACCTTTTTAAAACCAAATTTTCCCTTCTGATTTCTTACATCATGGTGGAATTGATGGTACCAATTTTGAGTAATGTTCAGCAAAGTTGCTTCAGGTGATCTTCAAATCTGATGGATGTGCAGTTTCATAATTGTTTGACCGTTCCCTTGAGGATCACACCCATGAAAATCTCCATCTAGATCGCATGGTGCACTACCCAGATGACTCCCTGTGGGCCTTATATCACGTCGGACTCAAAAAGCAGACTGAGGCGTGCCTGCCTGTGGTTCCCCCTGCACAGTGGGTGAAGAGGAGGAGGATCCCTAATACAGTGGTCCCGGAGCTAGCACTCATTGACCTACATATTCTAGAATTGTCTCCTACCCATGCTCCCACCCTTGAGGTCTCTTCTTCTCCACCGGTCCCACCAGGCCTAATGAACTCTCTGGTTCTGAATAATTCCCTGGCCCTCCTTCCTCTGCTGGTCCCACCCAGCCTCCTGAATCCTTTGTGTCCGCTGGTCCCGTTCAGCCTCCAAGCTCCTGCGTTCCAACCATGGAGGTCATCCAAAGCCCCGTCATCATCGCAAGTTCTGTTCAACTCCTCGGGTCCTCCCTTTCTGCTGGCTTCATCCAGCTTCCATCCAGTAATCACCACAGACTTCCCTCCACCCCTTTGGCTCCACAGGGCTCCCATTTTTACTCCGGTTCCTCCTTGCTCCCACCGGATCTGCCTCTGTCTTTTCTATAATTCTATAATTTCAATTTACGCAATATACGCAATACATGATGACTGATGCATTTGATTTAGAGAATGGATAATACTTTATAATACCATTAAATTATAAGTAATTGTTTAAGTTATTAGTTAATGATGAACTAATCATTTTCAAAACATGACTATACATCTATAAATAAGTAATAAAAGATAAATATGTTGTTAATTATCTTAAAAAATAGTAAATCATGAAACAATCAAACAGACCATTAGTTGATGATTAATATGTTATTAGTTGATATATTAATCTCTTGCAAATCATTTAAATATTTATGTTAAAATTGTTTCAGTATCATTGTTTCAGTATCATCCATTTCTGTTAATTCCAGGTTGCTATGGTCACGCAGGTTGTTTACGCATTTAACTCGTGGCCATTGTGGATCTCGAGGCAAGAACTTTACACTTTACACGTTCCCACAAGTTAATATGATGTGGCTACAACAAAACTAAATGTACCGAACATGTAAGTTACATTACATAAGTAATGATCAGTATATTATGGTGATCAGGTGAGGACATGTTCGGTACATTTAGTTTTGTTGTAGCCACATCATATTAACTTGTGGGAACGTGTAAAGTGTAAAGTTCTTGCCTCGAGATCCAATGTTGAGGAAACAACATCTTTTTCTAATGCCCACGAGTTAAATGCGTAAACAACCTGCGTGACCATAGCAACCTGGAATTAACAGAAATGGATAGGCCTATAATGATATTTAATTTTAATAAAAAATGACAAAATTGTTATTATTATGCCTATTATAAACACATATATACAGTGCTGCTTAAAAGTTTGTGATCCTCTTATAGAATTTGTGAAAATTTGAATAATTTGGACAAAATTAGAGAGATCTTACAAAATGTTATTTTTTTATTTAGTACTGTCCTGAATAAGATACAATATATGGGCAAAAGTTTTGGGACATCTGCCTTTACATGCACATGAACTTTAATGACATCCCATTCTTAATCCGTAGGGTTTAAAATGGAGTTGGCAAACCCTTTGCAGCTAAAACAGCTTCAACTCTTCTGGGAAGGCTTTTCACAAGGTTTAGGAGTGTTTATGGGAATTTTGACCATTCTTCTAGAAGCCCATTTGTGAGGTCAGGCACTGATGTTGGACAAGAAGGCCTGGCTCACAGTCTCCTCTCTAATTCATCCCAAAGGTGTTCTATCGGGTTGAGAACCGGACTCTGTGCAGACCAGTCAAGTTCCTCCACACCAAACTCATCCATGTCTTTATGGACCTTGCTTTGTGCACTGGTGCGCAGTCATGTTGGAAAAGGAAGGGGCCATCCCCAAACTGTTCCTACAAAGTTGGGAGCATGAAATTGTCCAAAATGTCTTGATATGCTGAAGCATTAAAGGTGACATAGAATAGAAAACGTCTCGGTTACGGATGTAACCCTTGTTCCCTGAGTAGGGAACGGAGACGTTACGTCGGATGACGGAGAATGGGGGTTTTGCCAGAAAGCCTATCATCTTCGAGTATTAAAAAACGAGCCTATGGCAATGAAATAACATGGGTCTGCGGAATTTGCATAATGTATCTCCGCCCCACCACGTGGGTATTTAAGGAGAGACACCTGCAACAGCAGATCATGTCTTCGCTGAGGAGCCGAGACTGAACTCAGGCGTATACCCAGCGGTACAGCGGAAGTGGCAGGGAGACGTAACGTCTCCGTTCCCTACTCAGGGAACGAGGGTTACATCCGTAACCGAGACGTTCCCTTTCGTAGTCACTCCGAGTTACGTCAGATGACGGAGAATGGGGGTCCCCGTGTAATCACGCCACCTTCACAGCTGTCTTCCAGTGCCCTGCAAAGTCTGACCTCCCTGTCGTGATATAGGCACGGACGAAGGAGTCCTACTTAACACAGGAATACCAAGGTACACTGGGAAGCATATCTCAGGGGAGATATGCCACAGCATGCCTACCCATAGGGAGGACTTAAGAATACATATATGGCCGAGGGGGCTTCATATGGAGGAACACTGGAGTGACCAGCCCGTGGGGTGGCAACTTTCAACTCCAGGAGTGGCAAGGTGGCTTGCCGAGGGAAAGACACATGCTCAAAGAGGCTTACAGTGGAAATACACATGTGGGGGTTACTCAGAGGAGGAAGCATGCACACGGAGGCACCTAGCCGACGCACAGGCAACAGACACTGGCGCAAGCGTCAACAGTGCTGGAGGAACTCAGGGCTTCAGAGAGGAAGGCTACCTGAGGAAATATCGCACGTATCCAGTCCGTGGATTGGAATGGCGAGCAAGCGAGACACCTAACGGCTCCCATGTTAGCTTGAAAAAGACAGTACATGGGCGGAGACTGGCTCCACTCGGAGATTGTAAAATCTGGCGAATGTGTTGGGTGTCGCCCAGCCTGCAGCTCTGCAGATGTCTGTTATGCTGGTATGCCAAAGCAATGGCGTCCACTATCCAGTGGGATAACCTTTGCTTGGAGAGAGCCTTTCCCTTCAGCTTCCCACCATAACAGACAAAGAGCTGGTCTGAGGTCCTGAAACACTGCGTCCTGTCTATGTAAGCACGGAGGGCGCGTACTGGACAGAGCAGTGCCAAGGCTGGGTCTGCCTCCTCCAGGGGCAGCGCTTGCAGGTTCACCACCTTGTCCCAGAAGGGAGTGGTGGGAACCTTGGGCACATATCCAGGCCGGGGTCTCAGGATCACGTGAGAGCAGGCCGGCCCGAATTCCAGGCACGCTTCGTCAACGGAGAGTGCGTGCAGATCCCCCAACCTCTTGATGGAGCCCAGTGCAACCAGGAGCGCTGTCTTCATTGACAGGAACTTAATCTCCACTGATTGCAGAGGCTCAAAGGGAGCCCTCTGCAGGGCATATAAGACCACTGAGAGGTCCCAAGAGGGTACGAGAGGAGGGCGAGGAGGATTCAGTCTCCTCGCTCCTCTCAGGAACCTGATGATCAGGTCGTGCTTTCCCAGAGACTTACCTTCAACTGCATCGTGATAAGCGGCGATAGCGGCCACATACACCTTCAGGGTGGAGGGAGACAGCCTTCACTCCAGCCCGTCTTGCAGAAAGGAAAGCACGACACCAATCGAGCATCTCCTGGGGTCTTCTCGCCGAGAAGAGCACCAGTTGACGAAGAGGTTCCACTTCAACGCGTAGACGTGTCTCGTGGACGACGCTTTAGCGGAAGTGATGGAAGCCACCACCGCAGGTGGTAGGGTACTCAAACCTGCCTCGTCCCGTCCAGGAGCCACACGTGGAGTCTCCAAAGATCGGGACGAGGGTGCCATAGGGTGCCCCGTCTCTGAGAAAGGAGGTCCTTCCTCAGAGGAATTGGCTAAGGAGGTGCTGTCGCGAGGAGTATCAGTTCGGAGAAGCAGGTCTTGGTGGGCCAGTATGGGGCGACCAATATGACCAGGCAGGACTGCTCCTCGTCCTCCTTGATCTTGCACAGAGTCCATGCGAGAAGGCTCACTGGGGGAAACACATATTTGCGTAGGCCCTGCGGCCAGCTGTGCGCCAGTGCATCCGTGCCGAGCGTGCCCTCGGTCAGGGAGTAATACAGGGCGCAATGGGATGAGTCGTGGGAGGCAAACAGATATATCTGTGCGTCCCCGAACTGGTCCCATATCAGCTGGACCGACTGGGGATGGAGTCGCCATTCGCCAGAGGTTGGCCGGAGCCGTGACAGCTCGTCGGCTGCAAGATTCCGCTCTCCTGGAATGTAAATAGCACGAAGGGACCTCAGGTGCTTCTGACTCCATAAGAGGAGGTGGCGTGCGAGTTGCGACATACGGCGAGAGCGTAGACCACCCTGATGGTTGATGTACGCTACTGTCGCGGTATTGTCCGGACGGACAAGTACGTGTTGACCCTGGAGCAGCGCGTGGAAGCGGTGCAGGGCAAGGCGTACTGCCAGCGACTCGAGGCAATTGACATGCATGAGGCGCTGGGGTCC